TACAGCTACTCGTCGGTCTTCTTCTTCTTCACCTTCCGCCGGCGCTTGGTGAAGGAAAGGGGGGGGGGGGGCGGCAGCGTCTTCATCCTCTGCGTTAAGCAGTAGATGTACAAGGAGTGGGCGACGGTGGTTAAGGTGGAAGTGGTTCAGGTACGACAGGGCGCCGGCGTGCCACGATGCTGCGGCAGCGCGCGCGGACCGCTTCGTGAGCCTATTAAGGTAAGGCTTGAGTGAAACTGGAAAAGTCATGTGAAAAACAGAGTTTTTTGGTTTCAAATCTACATGCTAGTGAAATCAAGAAAAGGCTCTCCATATTATTCTAAGCTAGTTCGTTGCGGATCTTTTAACATATCATAAGTCTACAGTTAGACATAACACCGTGCGCAAGAACTATTCTGAAGTTATAATTTTTTTATCAAATTTCAAAATAGCTCTTGCGCACAGTGTTATGTCCAACAATAGACGTATTACATGTTAAAAGAACAACGACAAACTAACTTAGAATAATATAGTGAGCTTTTTCTTGATTTCACTCGCATGAAGATTTAAAATTAAAACAAGCAGGCCCGCCCTTTCGCCAAACGGGGTTGCCAGCTCCGCTTCGCTCCGCCGGCAACTCCGTTCGGCAGGGGCCGGGCCTGCTTGGCCTGCCGGCGGCGATGGTCGGGCCTGCGGCCCGACCATTTCTGTCACGCGATTTGCTAAAGAACATGATCGAATTATGTAGCGGGCCTTTGGCCCGCTTAAACCCGTCGTCTTTGATTTTTCCCCAAAGACTCGAGAAAGGGATGTAACGGTGAAGCACCGTGACTACAACCCACCCTTCTGCTTAGAAAACGCGAGGGGGCCACCACTCGCGTAATCCTGTGTGCAGATGAGGGTGTAATCCCTACGTAATCCCTATCTATTCCGTGTAATCCTTTATCAAATTTTAAAACACTGTCACTAAATTTTACCTTATTGTCCAAATCTGAAGGTTTTAGAGCTAAAATTCACCAAAATTCACTTGTAATCACTCAAAATTCACGTGTAATCCCTGTAATCACGTAATCCTGTGTACATCCTCAATCGAAGTGGTGGCCCCCTCGAGAAAACGTTTTTAGGGGGTGGGGGAAGAGTTTCCTTTTTGCGGTTTTTAGGCTTTTTACTACAACTTATTGTTCACTATGGCAATTTTTAGCTTATTTTCGTCAAAAATGACCCTCTAGCGCCTAAACGGTTAGAGATAGAGCAAAACGGACGAAATTTTCGGCCGATGGGCTCTGCTTTGACGAGTTACCCATCAGGGGAACATTTATAAAAATTACTTTTTGGAAGAATTTTTGAACCTTGGATACCCCCATTCACACCCTTAGGGGTTGTTGCCAGGATTTGCCGTAGGCGTTTCGTTCTCTAGAAGTGGACCTTAAGATACCCTGAAAATTTCAAGTCTCTAGCACATCTCCTTCTAGTGGAACAGACAGACAGACAGACAGACAAGAGGTCGTTTGCATAAACCCGCTGGATAGCTTTTTCAAATCAGAAGGGCGGGCTAAAAAATACTGTTTTTTGCCCGACTTTTCCAGTTTTACCCAAGCCTTACCTTAAAACGGAGTATTCGTCTTACCCTTGTGGGGCTTATAATATACATAATAAACCACACATGGTGGGTGAGGGGGGGGGGGTACCTCTGCTGTCTCGTCATCACTGTAATCCTTCAAATGATTCATTTTCGGCCATAAAACACGGGCTATTTTGTGCTCCATCCGAATTACTACCTTGTACATCAGCAAAGAGTAAGCGTTCTGGTGCACTGCCGCAATGGACTCAGCGTCATCCTCGAGGCCATCTGCTGCAGACAAGTGAACGAGGAGCGCCTCGAACCCAGGTTCAACGTAGGGCAGAGTCGGGTATGCCTGGCCCTAGAGGCGGTCGGTGTGGAGCTGAAACGGCTCCAGAAACGCAGCCAGTTCCTCCATATCCTCCGGAACCAGACCGTCCATCTTTGGGTTTGCATCGTCCGTGGCATTGGTCAAGACTTGACAAACCTATCAACAAATAGCGAGGTTAATTATTTATTAACAAAAAGTTAACATTTATTCATAAACAAACATTTTACCTTTGCCCACCCCCACCGGTCACAGAGTCCAGCATACTGTAGTGGGAGTTCCACCTCGTTTGGACTTCCTAGGTGGCAGCATGTTCGAGCTTGTTGATAAGCCCATTCCTCTTCAAGTAGGCCACCAGCACCTTGACCCGCTCGAACAGCTCGATAGCGGGGATTGGCTCTAGCTCCTTTCTGGCTGCAACCTTGAGCTCCACTATCATCGGCGAATCGTCATGACTGGGTTCTAGGTGAGGCTGAAGTTTTTCACGGTAGACCTCAATGGTGACCTGTGGACTTGCCTCCTGACTGCCGCCCAGGTCGAGGGGGCTCAGGAAGTCCGCCAGGTCTGCCACGTCCTCCATGTCCACGTCAAGGTGAGGTGCCTCAGCGAGCAAGGTGTCCTCCACCTAATAAAATAGCGCTTCAGTTGTTGACGAAATATAAATAACGCCACCAGAAAGGAAAGCTGCGCTGCGCGGGCGCCCACCCCG